ATTTTACAAAGAGGTTTGAGTATCTCTTAAATTTACAAATTCCTCAATGGAAAATAAATCCGTACAATATCACAGCCATGGAAGAAGCCCGTGTGATGCAAGAAGAGTTAATCACCATCAGCACAGACGAGGAGCTTAAGCAAAAGTTCAACCAAGGCTATCAGAAGTTCTGGTTGCAGTGAAACATTGAAACACAGTATCCTGTATTATGGAATATTACTGAAAAATACCTTATCGCTTTTCCATCATCATACCTAGTCTAAAAATGATTCAGTATGGTTGCAAACATTTTGACAAAACAAAGAAACCGTTTGAAAATCAACGAACGCAGAGATTTAAGGCTAAATCTGGTTCAATATTGGTGAGTTGCAATTCACCAATATTGAACCAGATTTAGCTAGAAGTCACTAGGTTCAACCATAACTGAATTTTTAATTTTTTTATCTTCATTTGCGATTTTAATGTTTTTTTTTTTCAAAATAATCACACTTGCTTTACTGAATTTTGTCTATTTATTTTGTTAAATTTTGATGAGAAAATTATGTCAAGTTTACTCACTTAATCAACCGCAAATTTTTTAAATTGGTATTTTGTATCAATATGAAAAAAACTAGAGATAGGATTTTTAAAGTAATTTGGCTATGAGGGTCTGAGGTATCAGTTGATTTTGGAAAAGAGGTCTCTTGCCCAAAATAGTTTAGGAATCCCTCATATAATCGTTATTTGCATATTCAATGGGATTATTTAACCGTTTCAACAAGAATTAATCACTGATCTAATCTCAATAATAATTCAATATTTATGTATATTTTTAGACTAGTTTTTTAATAAATTCAACTCAAAACCTTTCAAGAGCCGTTATCATCAATAAAAACAATCAGTCAAGAGAGTTCTTCAAAATAGAGTAAGTAAGGTTAGGTAAATTTTTCCAGAATCAAAACAAACATTTACATTCTTTGTAGTATATTATTTAAAAAAATTATAGTCTTATATATACATTTTAAAAAAATCAGTCAACTGGCTAAATTAATAGTTAAATAAAAAACCAACCGTGCCTAATGGGTACATACATTTATCAAGGCACTTCAATCAATCGCTTATTACTTACATTGTTTATCTTTCTAACAAATATAAACAAACATTAAAAACATCTAACTTGTAGACAGTCACGAAAAATTTATCAGTCGTTCTAAAATGGACAACAACTGTCAATTACTCTAAAATTACGAAAGGGAAACCGGAGTACACTCGGACACGGGGCACATACGGACAGTTCAAATTTACTGCCAAAAAAAGTTGTTACTCTCTCTCGTCAAACGTAGTTTCACTGTTGTGGTCGCCGCTGTAAAATTTTTGTACAGTTTTCGTTACACGTTTGTTTATAAATTATCCTGTTTTTTGTGCTAACAAGTAAACATTTTCCACTTTACTTCGTAAGGTTTTATATATTTTATCGCTGACATCGTCAACTAGTTTAAAATAGGAATTCACTAACATAGTTAATAGCTTTATGACCATAACCTAAGAAATGTTGCACGTGATTATTTTCTTTAACTTCAGTCGGGACAAAAGAAAAAAGTCCTGGTAACAGATATTCACACTCTTCCCAAGGCATTTCCAAAAAAACTGTACGGAAATTAAAGCTCCTGGATTTATACCAATACATCGGAGAAAGGTAGAATTGAAAAAGAAAACCTAACCTAAGAAATGTTGCACGTGATTATTTTCTTTAACTACAACCGGAGCACTTTCAGACATATGAACTGGGGCACATTGGGACTGTCCGAATATGCCTTGGTATAATTGAACTTGACTTTTTTGAATGTATTTTCTAACAGGATTGCATTTCTTTTTCGTCTAGAATGGTCCGCACTTACAAAAAGAAACTGAAAGAGTCAATATTTCAAAAGATGCCATACGAGCTGCAATATCTGATTTAGTTGATAATGGAATATCTGTTAGATAGGCTTCTTCAGTACAAAATATTAAAAAGTCTACTATCCTCGATCGTTTAAAAATGTTTCGTCAAAAACAAAATAGGGATTCTGGAAATGATAGTAGAGAGGAAGATCAAGATCAAAGATCTAGTAAATATGCGGCAACGAGTGTGAAGTAAAATACTTTCAATCGGTATTTTGGGTTAACCTACAATAATACTCTTACTTTAGCGTACGAATACGCAGTCAAACTACAAAAGAAATATTCATCGTTCTGGGATAAAAATAAAATGGCCGGTGAAGATTGGATGGCTGGTTTTATTAAAAGACATCATGAACTATTCCACCGAAAACCGGAAAATACCAGCCTGGCAAGAGCTGGTCTAACTAACGTTAACCAATTTTTTGTCAATTATAGAAAAGTAATGGAAAAATACAAGTTCACGTCAGACATAATCCTGAACAGTGATGAAACGGGAATAACAACTGTTTTACTAGCCCCAAAAGTAATTGCAAAAATTGAAAAGAAACAGGTGGGACAGGTCTCTTCTGGAGAGTGTATCACCCTATTTATATCACTCCACGGATACAAATACAGGATGAGTATTTGTATGTTTCTCCTCCATGCTCCGTGTGTTTTGGATCAAAGACTAGGTGGATGACTTCTGAGATTTTTGTACAGGTGTTGGGACATATTAAGAAGCATAAAGACTGTAGTGTTGATAACCCAATATTACTGATAGTAAGATAATTATAAAAATAATAGCCGTGCAGCTATTTTGTATTGTAGCAAAAACGACATTAAACTACTTTTGTTCCCACCTCATTGTACTCACCAGATGCAACCCTTTTAAATCAAGGTGCAAGTCATCACTCAACGACTCTTTGATCTCCAAACCTGGTACGATTATAAAATAAATCATATTCGTCAACTTTCTCACCAACTATACTTGTTATCATTCACTCCAATAAATATTGTAAAAGCATTTTCCCAAACAGGAATTTGGCCGGTGAATTCTCTAGTTTTTTCTGAAAATGATTACCTTCCAGCTTCGGTAACAGACCTTTAATCACCTCTACTATAATTCACGATTCTAAATATATATGTGGAACCACAGGACTCCATAAGTCACTTGCCAGATTCATCAAATAGTGACTTGCCAGGTCCATCGAATATTCAATCTAATGACATTGTCAATATAGTGACTAATATTGTTGAAGAGTTGGTGGAAAATGTATGTAATACACAAAAAAATGGTTCAGTTGATAATAAACAAGAAAAGAAAAAGTCCTGGTAACATATATTCGCATTATTCCCAAGGCACCTCCAAGAAAAACCGTACGGAAATTAAAGCAAGGAAGCTCCTGGATTTGAAGAAACTGAAAAAATAAAAGTCAACAAACAGCTGAAAAAGATGCTAAAAGACAAGTAAAAAAACCTAAAACTAAGGAAGTAAATCCAATATCCAAAAATAAAAAGAAATGTCAAAACAAAATCGAAGATGAGGTATCGTCGTCTGATTCAGACATTCCAGAACCCAAAAAAGGCAGATGATCTGACCCAGACAATATAGACCTCGAGGACGAAGAAACTGATGTTCCAGATTTCTTGAATAATAAGACATTAATTGAGATTATATTCCAGTCAAATTTCTTATAGAAAAAACAATCAAGAACTATATCGGTAAAGTACTAGTGGCAGATCATGGTTCAAATGAATATGAGGTCAGCTTTTCAAGAAGAAAAGGCAATTTAGGTTTTGTTTTTCCTAATATCCTGGATGTGTCAATGGTATCCAGGAGTGATGTCATTTTGAAGCTACCCGAGCCTGTGAAATGCAGTATACGGTTAAATTCCATAGTAAGGTTTGCGGTAAATTTAAATAACTATTTTAACCTATAATAAAGAGTTTTAATTCACTCTAATCTTTATTTTATTATTATCCTTATCATTAGGTAACACATCGTGCGAATGTATCCCTTGTATGTCCGACTGTGCCTCGGCTTGGGGCAAATTAGGACAATATGCACATTTTATTAAAACAGTTACAAAATGGTTAAATATTACATATTGATTTAACTAAAAATTATCGTATATCCAATAAGGCATACTTCAGTATAGAACTAAAAGTCAGCCACTAACTTTTATTGTTAATGAAATAAAATGCATTTCCCCAAAATCGTCCGAATGTTCCCCGGGCTCCCCTACGTCTGTCACTTTATTAAATGCACGAAAAACTGTCAGATGCAGAAAAGTATGTACAATATGTCACCTATCGATGATATTTAATAAGTATGGATGTTAAACGTGACATATATGTCATTTATTTGACATTTACAAATGCGTCGTTCTAAAATACGCCAATTACTCTAAAATTACGTACAACTGTCACTTTATAAATCTGAATGCATTAAAATCTGCCAGATACACAAAAATATGTCACTTCTAGATGTATGACAAGTAAAGATTTCAAAGGTGACATATGTTATTTATTCATGACTCTTGACATTTACGAATGTATAAAAAAGCCGACAATCGTTCTAAATTATGTCAAAAACTAGCAATTATTCTAAAATAATGTACACCAGTATGAATACATGAAAAATTGACAGATATAGAAAAGATGTCACTTGTCAATATTTGACAAAGATTTCAAACGTGACATCTGTATTTTTTGTGTGACTTTTGACATTTACAAATGCGGAAAAAGCTGACAGTCGTTTTAAATTAAGTCAAAAACTGCCAATTATTCTAAAATTACATCAGTCATTTTATTACTCTAAATACATAAAAAAACTCCCCGATATAGAAAAGTATGTACATTATATCACTAACTGACAATATTTGAGATAATGAGATGCGATCAACTGTTTATTTAGTTCATTGGGACAGGAGAGGACAGAAGTTTTTTTTAGAGTATTTGTTAAACTATCATTGACCTGGCCCTAATCCGAATGAAGTAGAGATAAAAAGGTCGTTTGGAGTTAAAAGTGTGCCTGGAGCAAAACTAAACGATTGGAACTCATGTAGATTTTAAAAGTAACGCATCTGTCACTGATTTATGACATTTACAAATGCATAAAAAACTGCCAAACAGCGTAAAATGCTATATTTATTCATTAATTTGACATTTATTTATCTCGGAATAAACGAAAAAATTGACAAATACTCTTCACTGGATCATATTAGTGACTTTAGATGATATTATTTAAATGCAAATTACCATATGTCAGATAAATCGTCAATTTTTCATTAAAACCAGTCAAGGCCTGCTATTTATCCGAACTGTGCTCAAAAAAAAAAGAAAAACGACAACATATAAATGTCAAAAAATAAACGCATTAAGATTTAAAATCACAAAATATTAGCGACATTAATTATAATTTGTTATTTGACAAGTAATTTTCAAGAAAAAAAAATAAATATCAACGAATTCGAGGCTATATTCAACTATTACTGGATGTGTTTTTAGTTTTGACGATTTGACAAGTGACAGATGACACATACGACAAAACCACAATTCAATATACCAAAATTCCAACGAAAAATAGTTGGTAGAGAAAAATATCAATACATAATACCGTAACTCGCTTATCTTAATTCATAAACTATATTTCGTATTTTAATCTAAATCTAACATATCAAGAGGTAAAAAATTAAATTAATAAAACTTAAGCTACGAAATCAATGCCAAGGAGTTTCTCTGGTTTGCGAAATGGAGCCCAACTTAATGTATCTAGCGGTGCCAGAAAACGCGGTTACAGCGTTGCCGTTGGCCGCATTATTAGAAGAACATTGAGCTTTAGACGAATCCCCCTTGAGCACCGCCACTGGTTTCCAAGAATTAATGTAATTCACTGTAAATAATCGAAAAATATTATTAAACAAAGAAAATGGTCCAAATATTAATAAAAATGTTAACAAACCCAAATGTCAACAATAATGATTAAGTGACATTCGAAGGCGTGATTTAGATACCCCATGTCATCTGTCAATGAAGTCAATGGCCGCATTCAGCAGAAGCAACCGATTATCAAACGATAACTTAGCGATGACTTATCGATTAGTAAATCTCCTGAATGAACTTTTTAGGCACTTCGACAGGCGACACAAAAGTGACATGTACTTCAGAAAAAAGTCATCATCTAAAACATAGGTACAAAATTTAGAATAAAATACCAAATAAATTACTCAACTACATAATTATAAATTAATGTATTTGCCTGATTTTAATACATTGTGCAACACTTCATTACCAACTACAATACATTTCATATTGTTATAAACATATATCACTTCAAAGTCCTTCATTTCAGTGAAAAATTACAAATTCAGTGTAAAACTGAATTCAAAATAAACATAAAATAAGGTTATGAGTTATGAGCACCACCACAAAACATTCACTTCAGTTGATATGAGTTCTAAATCTAATCACGATGTGATAACTAATCGTATTTCAAATTCGATGTTTTAAATGGCGGCCGATAACTCATCATTTGATTACTAATCGCTCTTTTATATATCATTCAGCAGAAAATCATAAATCGATTGCTTCTGCTGAATGCGGCCAATGATTTAGAATTAAAAGTTTGACATTGACAGTGGTTTCACATTTATAGTGTTTTGACACACAAATCAAGAATTTTAAGCGTTTTTTACGATTATAAAATGTAAACTTTGAAGCTTTAAAAACTAAAAAAAAGTTCCGAAATATGTTGACTTACTTTTGAACATTCTAACGCATCCAATGTTAACAAATGTCAATATTAATGATAAAACAATTGATAAGTGACATTAAAAGCAGTGATTTAGATACCAAATGTTATTTGCCAATGATTTAGAATGACAAGTTTGACATTTACATTGTTTTGACACAAAAATCAAGGATTTTAGGGAATTTTATTGATTATTATAAATGTAAATTCAAATACAAAAATCAATAAGTCACTTGTCGTTGACTAAACGCCATAAAATAACAAATTTGACGCCTAGTAAAGCTAAAACGAATATAAATAAAAAAATCTTAATTAAACTGTTAACGAACGTCAAATCTCGACAAAAATGCTATACAATTGATAAGTGACATTCGAAGCTGTGATTTAGATACCGTTTGTCATCTGTGAATAATTTAGAATGACAAGTTTGACATTTATAGTTTTGGCGTTTTTGTCTATTATAAATGTGAATTCAAAGGCAAAAATCAATAACGTCACTTATCATTGAGTAAACACAATAAATTAAGAAACTGGACGCATAGTAAACCTTGAAAACTAAGAAAAAAAATTTTTTTGAAATATTTTTACTTACTTTTGAACATTCTAACACATCCATCATCACCAGTCGAACATAGCACCGTACCAGTTAAATTCCAGCAAACCCTCCATACCAAACTGTTGTGATCCTCGAATTGAGCCATGGTTTGCACGTCTAACTTTGTAACACCGCTCTGAAGGCTCTGTTCGTCTCTGAAACAATCAAATTTACCGGATAATCCCCATGTTTTTTTCATCGATATGTCACCGAACTTACTCGACTGGGGTTAGATTGACGATTCTGACGTCCTTGGTGGCTATGGCGAGAATATGATAACTCCGGCCCAAATTCGGAGAGAAAGCGATATCGTGAACTGGTTCGACGACAGAACCGATGGTTTCTAGCTTCGTCCAACGTCGTGAATTTTCATTGTATTCGTAAATGAACACTTTTCCGCCGTTGGCGGGGTTGGCATCGTCGCTGCCTACGGCTATCATTTGCGGATGAAGTCTGCGAATTTTGGAAATGTGTTAAAATCAAGTACAAATTATATGGAGTAAAAAGATTAAAGAATCTGTCAGGTAGTGTAGAGTTGGCAACAAGGCAAGACGACACTAAAAGTTGATATTATTTCCTTTATTTAGCAAGTTTACACAGCTCAGGGACATACAGATAGGAAACACCAACAACCGCAGCAACGATGGCGGCTGTGCATATCAGATGTTAACTAAAGGTACATGTCGTTTATAGACAGAAAGTAGATGTGGACAGTTTGTAAAAATAAACGTCAATTGGTTGTATGTATATCGTAGAATCCTGAAATTGAATTTTAAATTTTGAGTTCATGAATGATTTATATTGTAAGGTGAATTTGGGGACAATAATTCTATTTTGTAATACAGTGCAACCTCTTTAATCCGAACACCTAATTGTCAGACCTTGTTCGGTTTAGCGAATTGTTCGGATTAACGAATATACAATAAAACACCTCTTACACATTTTTAGACCTTTAGATCTATGTATGTATATTGATTTTTGTACATTTAAATGCATTATCAAACTACATATGGGCGACGCGGGCCGCGCTGGAGGTCTTTTCCTGTCAGCATTTGGATTACAGAGGCGGCGTTCGGACTATCTCGCATCACGATTCGCGTTCGGATTAGCGTAATTCGGATTATCGAGGTTGCACTGTATTACAATAATGATTTGGAGCATGTATTGCACACATGCCACATGAATAAGTTGAACAACCCCAATGTGGCGTTCTTTAATTTACCAAAGTAAGATCTCTAGCCATGTAAGTAACACAAACAGTAGCCAAACTTTTGTCACATAGTAGCTTCAAAACATTGGAGAGATTTGATATAGGAAGAAAAATATATGAATTCCCATTAGAGTTTGCAGTCAACATTTTTAAAAACGAGCCACCATTGGCCACTCGTATGTTAAAGTTACAAATAAAACTCAAAAATTAAAAAAAAAATTATCATGAATAGATTTACAATTAGGTATTCCAAACTGAATGGCTACCAGTGGGTTTTGACGGGTTATGATATGAAAAAATTATGGCAACCCTGTAGGCCTGGTGATTTGACAAGGTCAATGAAATAGATAGTTACATAGATTGATCATCCATATTTTTAAAAATAAACATAAGCTTATGCCTTGAAGTAAAAATGTAAGCAATTATTTTTTTTAAATATCTAAAGGCTAAAAATTGGTTTTAAAACACATTTTTGCTAAAACGGTAAAAATTAATAAATATTTGCCAGGCAATATGGCCGCTCGCAAACGACCAGCTTTGAGCAATCTGTATAACTATTATGTATCATTGACCCTGTTAATGACAACATGACAACAGGGTTTCCATATCTAAACTGTCATTACCCACTGGTAGCCATTTGGACAGGTCGTTGGAATGCCTAATAGTTAATCGATAATAGACTGAGGGTCGTTTTTTAACTCTGAGTAAATTTACATGTAGGTTTACTGGACAGATAAACATATAATAGCCCTATAGGTTAATCAGCAAGTAGTTACTTTCAACTTTACTCAGAGGTGCAAAGCCTGGCCCTGTGTAGTATTCTTTTTAATAAATAATTTACCGATTAACATTGTTTAAATTTATTTACCAGAACATGAAAGTCCATATTTACAACCTTTGTTATAAAGTTTTTAAATTTCCTGCTGTATTATTTGATTGATATCGATAAAATCGCCACTAAGTGGATCAGATGTTAACTGCGTTCCAGCTGGTCGTTTTTAAGCATGTGTTTCTTATGAGCGTTTCCTATCTTTATGTCCCTTATCTCTGCTAGTTTACTAATATTTCGATTTACAAGTTTAGATGAGAATCTCTTATGTGTCAACCGCTATAGAATCATATGCCTCCGACTGTTTCAAAATCTCTAGCTTTGGTTTAAAATATTTCGTACGGGACGTCATAATTGCATCGCTAAAATTTAAACAGTTTAAAAAAGTCGAAAATATTTTAAACCAATAAGAAAATATTGATAAATGTAATGACGTAATTTGGATGAGTCAATACTATTGATTAATATATTTTGTTCTGATAAAATAGGAAAACAATGTTTCAGAGAGTACTCAATTTTGATGGAGAGTATTTTCTTGAAAGTGGTTATCAGATTGAAAAAAGAATGTCAGGTTTTTGACTGTAAAGCTTAATTTATAACCACCGTAATGTAACTTAAGAAATTAACGTAAAAAATATGATACGATTTGAAAAATCGTTTAAAAAAATATATATATATTTTTATTTAAACAACAAGTACAATATTTTTATCATCTAACATCAGACTGAAAGTAAAATAAAAAAATGTTAAACATTTGTTCAGAGATAACAAGTAACTTGAACTGCCGGCTGGTGGAATTCTCGTAACTTCTCGACAGGTCAGCGGTTTCTATTATGTAATTCGTAAGAAGTTGAAATATTGAATTTACGTATACTTATTTATTAACCGACTTCAAAAAAGGAGGAGTTTCTCAATTCGTCGCAATATTTTTTTTATGTATGTTCAGCGATAATTCTTTAACACGGTGTCCGATTTCAATGATTCTTAGAAAGTACTTCAAGGGTGGTGCCATACAAATTTGGTCAAAATCTAATAATTGGGTGCATGAGTAAATCCTCAAACTCTTCATTTTTTATGTATGTTTAGCGATAATGCTTTACCACCTCGTCCGATTTATATGATTTTTTTGTTAGTAAGGGGCTACCTCAGGGGTGGTCCCATGTAAATTTAGTTAAGATGTGGTGATGGCATGTAGACGTTTTTGAAGTCGATTTTTTTTTAATTTTTAATTTCTAATACTTGTAAATATTCGTAACGTAACTTAAGAACTTAACGTATCGTAGAGAGTTCGCCAAACTTAACAACTTAAGACCTTACAATCAGCCAATGAGATAACTCTGAGGTTCAGCATGTGATAACTGTCTATTTTTCTTTTTATTTTGTTGTTTAAATAAATGATTGGACAAATACCATTTGTAAACTATTATTCTCCTTTTTTATGGACATACATTATCATGAATGTTTACGTTTGTTAAGTCAAGATCCCCAACGTGACAGCTATAAACATGGACATTCTATTCTATAAATAAAATAATAATTATAATAAGTAATATTATATTCATTATCAGTGCTTTCGTAGAACAGACTAGAAATAAGTAATATTATATCCATTATCAGTGTTTTCGTAGAGTAGATATTGCATTTTCCATTGTATTCTTTATTTTTATTGTTGTTATAATTTGATAATCAAGGTTTTAACATTGCCTATTCTTATTATTTGTAACTCGGATTTCACTATTTTTGAAATAAATATATTTCTAAAAGTAACTTCGAAGTCCCTTATTACTTAAATTGTTTTAATGTTTTGTGTTTATGTTATTGGAGATAAAATATTTATGAGATTGAATGTTTCTATATACACAAAAATACTATTTTGCTAGGGAAGATTAAATCCTGATTATTGCTCAAAAACAATCAACATCTTCAGAACTATTCCTTTTTATTATATTTTTATATTATTGCTTTTAAAGTAGTTTATATATTCTTTCTATATAGCAAAATCATAATTTATGGGTTTTATTTAAAGGTTAGGTACATAGTTTATACTTGTTTATTTTATAAGGTTGTCTGTAATTTGATAATCTCTGAATTACAACGCTTACGTTACGGACATTTATAAATAGACTTTATTTTTATATCTTACGTTGTTTCTACGGCGTTAAGTTAAGTTACGGTAGTTATAAATTATACTTAAAAGAGAGAACTCAACCCAAGATTACAATCAATAAGCTAGTCATTAAGGGTGTTGTGGGGGATCAAAAATCTCATATACAATGGCGCCCAACGTGAGGCAGTCAAACTGACAAAATTTAAACCATTGTTATAGTCCAAGCGGCGACCGCCGTAAAAAGGTGGTCAACTAGAATAAGTACAAAAATATATTTTATTACTTTTTGGGTATTAGATGAATAACAAATCATCGGTCTGGTAGTCTATGACTTGTCCAATTTTTTTTTTTTAAATAAAATTTGTATTTTATTTTTTTGTAAAATTGATCTACATAACTTAAACATAATTTTTTAGTTTACGATGGCGTTTTGATTAGATGAATATAAAAATTCAAGTCTGGCGTTCTTATTTTTGACGCAACTGTTTGTCAGACCACCCCCAACAAATTTATTACAACAAATTTTATATACAAGGTATAAGAAAAAATTAAACGTCAAAATATTTATTTTTTATTCCTCTTTGGAATAAAATTGGTCTGGCACGTTCATACTTGACCAAAATTCTGCCAGACCAAGTCCTTCTCTACTGCTTGTAAAACGCAATTTTTTTTTCTTTTACTCATAGTCATCGAAAGCAACATTTGTACTGAGATTATTACAACATTGTATATTTAAGGTACCAACGTACTTGTTTCACGCGATGTAAAAGTTAATTCTGTTTCTAATTCTTCTGCAGTTGTATATGCTATGGTGTGTCCAAGTTTCTTTAAAATAGTTAATATTTTTCGGCTGTTTATTAATGATTTAATTGTTAAGTCCAGCTTGAGTTGTTTTGGTGGCTTTATCCTGCCTTTTGTCAAAATAAAGATATCTTCACATAGTGATTTTATTCTCACGCATCGTGATCATTAGTCTTTTGTCTTCTTACATCGGGTCCTTTAACAAGTGCACTAATAAAATCATATAAAACTACAGGTATATCACATTCTCCTAAAAAATTGTCATTTGTAGTTAATTTATTTGGAAGTTTTTTGCCAGGCAAAGATTTGATACTATTACGCAATTCGTATGCTGTATCACGCAATCGATATTTTACTGAATTATTTTTTACTGCTGATGAGTGGATTATATAAATATGTCAATATTACGCTTATAAATTACTTTGTTTTTTATGTATACTGGCAAAGCTTCAATAATAATCTTATCTTCTTAAGACCTTAAAAGTTTCTCTTCTAACTAGATTTATATGTGTCAAATTTAATATCATCGGAATGTTTGCCTGCTATTTCAATAAATAATGCTTTGCAAAAATTAAATATGTCAGAAAAATAAAATACTTTTTCCTCGTTGATAATTTCCTTTTCAATAAATTGCAAAATTGCTTCTAGTGCGTCTTTATGTATTTCTCTAACTTTATGCCAGTTTGTTTCTTCTGTTAAAACATCTAACGTTTTTTCGTATTGTTTTTGATTTCTTAACCTACAAATTGCATGATAAACAAGTACTGAGCCATTGTTGATTTTCTCCAATAATTCAAAGTCATCCAAACCATTTGCAAAAAGTTTAATGTTATTTAATAGCTTATCGGTAGTAGATACTAATAAAGTTTGTCTATTACGTCCTACTCTGGTCGTTTGTGATGAACAAAAAATGCAAACATCAGTTGAATTATTATTCTGTTCTGTCTCAGATTCCAATGTAGTAGATGATGTATTTTGTTCCGGCTAAAAATTTTAATGATCACTAAAATATTCTAAAGAAGATAATTCATAAAAAAAGATAATTATAAATTTAATTTACCAATAGTCTTATCCTACTATCCACATATTCATCTGATAGTGATAATGGCAGTATTTGAGATGAACCAGCAGAATCGGTAACAAAATCAGTTGAATTGGAAGAAATATTTGGTTCAGTCTAATATTATTAAAATTATTTAGATAATATATATATATACTTACGTTAGTAAATTTTTCATTATTTGTATTAACTCTTTGTGAAGATTTATTAAATTCGTCAGCCACAGATTTTTTATAGCAACCAAATTAAGGTAACATTTCAAATGATAACCTGCAGATTTTTGAAGTTCAGGTATTAATATTAAATCACTATACTTGAAATGATTCTTTTTTATTATTTCAATAAATAAACAACATCTTTGAAATGTATCAGCATTAAACGATAATACTTTCTCCTTGCTATTAGTGATATTACAGATAAAGCATTTCATTTTTCTAATTCAATAAAAAATTATTTAATTATTTAGCTAAGTAAATGTCATTTAACAAGTATTAGAAATTAAAAATTTAAAAAAACCGACTTCAAAAACGTGCAGATGCCATTACCACATCTTAACCAAATTTATATGGGACTACCCCTGAGGTACCCCCTTACTAACAAAAAAAGAATCATATAAATCGGACAAGGTGGTAAAGCATTATCGCTAAACATACATAAAAAATGAAGAGTTTGAGGATTTTCTCATGGAACCAATTATTAGATTTTGACTAAATTTATATGGGACCACCCCTGAAGTACCCCCTTTCTACCAAAAAAAAAATCATTGAAATCGGACACCGTGTTAAAGAATAATCGCTGAACATACATACAAAAAAAAAAATATCGCGACGAATTGATACCTCCTCCTTTTTTGAAGTCGGTTAAAAACACGCACATCACATATTGGCGAATTAAACAGGTTAAGATTTGAATGATGTCAATTATGTCAAAAACAAAAACAACTCGCACTTTACAAGCAGTAGAGAAGGACTTGCTTAATCTTGGTCTGGCAGAATTTTGTTCAAGTATGAACGTGCCAGACCAATTTTATTCGAAAGAGGAATAAAAAAATAAAAATTTTGACGTTTGATTTTTTCTTATACCTTGTATAGAAAATTTGTTGTAATAAATTTGTTGGGGGTGGTCTGACAAACAGTTGCGTCAAGAATAAGAACGCCAGACTTGAATTTCTATATTCATCTGGTCAAAACGCCATCGTAAACTAAAAAATTATGTTTAAGTTATGTAGATCAATTTTACAAAAAAAAAAAAAATATTTAAAAAAAAAATTGGACAAGTCATAGACTACCAGACCGATGGTTTGTTATTCATCTAATGCCCAAAAAGTAATAAAATATATTTTTGTACTTATTCTGGTTGACCACCTTTTTACGGCGGTCGCCGCTTGGATCTAAAATATCAAAATATCTATCATATCAAATGTATAATAGTGTAGTGTAGGCAAATGACCTCGTGCATTTATGAATCACTAAATGACCATACAAAGTGACCAATCACTTAGGTGGTCATTATCATTCATGGACAAAAATGGTATTTTTGAATAGGTTTCTTTATGAACTCTTCAACGATACCAAATATGTCGGGTACTACAAGGATATCAAAATAAGTTTGATCGGTGTCAGAGCGGCGTGGTAGATGTCTAACGCGCTCGCATTCATTTGCGAGCAATTTTGTGGTAAGAGACACACTAGCTTCGAATCCTAGTGAAGACTACATGGTTCTCTATAAAATTTAATAATTTCTGTTTTTATCTTTATCGGTTGTAAGCAGGTAGGGTTAGGTTTGGCCCAGAACACTGCGGCCTCTTGGGTCTATTGTATTCCCCTGCTTCCTCGTATTCAGGTACTATCTTTAGAATAGTCCTGTGTCTTTGATTAGTTTCAATAGGTTCCATACCAAGTGTTCCTGGGGCGTTATTTCCGGTTCTAGGCCGAAAAGGATGAAACGTCGCCTAGTAAGAGCTTCGCATTCGAAGATCACATGGTATGAGGTTTCTTCCTCTTCCATGCAGGGTCTACACGTAGTGGGATCATATAATTTCTTTTAATATGACATCCAGATTATAAAAACCACCATGCGTTACCGTTTTGATGGGGTGGGATTTTCCTCATCTGTAAGTCAAATGGCACCATCAATCATCTTTAAGTCGCCCCGGAGCGCCACAGCAAATATTAATAATAGCCGTCCCTTCCCCGGACAAGCTTAGCTTTTGGAGTAAAAATTCACTCGTAAAGGGGTGAATTAGAGAGAGTATTATTATTATTATTATTATTATATTATTATTATATTATTATTATGTATAAATCGATAAATGGGCATACAAAATGAACAGTCACTTCGAGATCAGTTTCATTTGCGGACAAAATAATTATTTGTGTACACAATATAACTTTATCCTAGTTTCCAGATATTCAATATTAATGCCATACCATTGTTGACCTTCAACACTCAATCTGTTAAAAAACAAATGTCTAGGTTAGAATAATATGGGCACGAACTGATGGGATATATTGATTACATTCAAAAGTGATTGGTTACTTTCTCAGTCACATTATATAATAAAAGCAATTTTAAATATAAATAAAACAAATGGATCTAAGAGGGGGAATGGAATAGAAAAAAGAAACTGATAGAAGAATTTGAAAAAACAAAAAATCTTTAGAGAATAAAAAAGAAATTAATAAGAAATGGAGCAAAATTAGAGAAAGAAGAAAAGTCAACAATGGAAACAGTGATAAAATTTAATAATAAGATGGCTAAAAATATGTACAAGATGGATGAAAACAGAAGAGATTATTCAAAAGATAGATAAAAATGAAAAATGGAATTCAGATGATGAAAAAAATGGAAGAAAAAGTAGATAGAATGTATTATTTAAGTAATAAAGTATATAAATTAACACTAACAAATGTAAACTACCTTATGTGAGATAAATAATCTTAAAATTTAAGATTAATAAAGAATAAAGTTGAACAAAGAGAGTAAAAACGTATTATTTGTATATAAATGTAAATGAATATTTTTAGAGGAATAAATTTTTCTATAAAGAAAATTTTGTTATATATAGATAGCATTTTAAAGAAGATACAAAATTCAACTAACTTGTTAAGGCTGGGATTCCAAGACAAGCAACTGCAGGGAAGTTTGCTCTGAACCTCATGTTGCAAAGTCCACTGACTCAAATTCATCACGTCTGGTGCTTCATAAATTCGAATGATGCCCTCTGCAGAACAGGTAGCTAGCTGCAGTCCCTGAGATTTTGGACCGAATTTAACGTCGGTCACGGAAGTACGTGAATCTACCAAGTTTGTTCGCCTTACCCAATGCCTGGTGCCTCTTTCACCAGGGCCTGGCAGCTCACCAACTACAAAAAAATCCTTGCAATTTACACATCATCACAATAATATATCATCATCATCATCTACTAATAATTGATGTACATACCGATTTCTTCCCATACTGCCGCAGTTCTATCGAACGAACAAGTGGCTAAAACTTGTCCAAATTCTGGATGTGCCCATGTAACTTTCCATACAGAACCACTGTGCGCCTTCCAACTAGATGTTTGAATCCATTTACCTTCTGTAGTTTGGTCCCAGACCTTCAATTTTGCAAAAAAAAAAAAGAAATTTTGATCAATACTAGGTATGATAATGGTTTTAACGACTTTACATTACTAAATCTTCAAGAATTTAAAGAAATTTTATCAAATTCAGCAAATAAAGGGCCACAAGTTAATGTACTATATAGTAAAATTATAAAGAGCAGCTTTGAAGTAAATGGAAATGTCTGGTGTAATTTTATAAATATATCTTTGAAAAATGGTACATTTCCAGATGTTTTCAAAATTAGTAAGTACAGTTACACCTATTAAAAAAGGCGACGAATACTGGCCAATCATTACTTTACCCTGTGCTCAAAAAATTTTAGTTAGTAGTTTATCAACAATTGTTGGAATGTTTTAATAAAAAAAAAAAATTCTTGCGAATGGTCACTCGTATAGTTCGACATTAAACTTGTTCAGAATCACTGAATTACACTAGATCAGCTAAGAGGTTGTTATAACTTCGCGACGTGTTCATTTGGTCAACTGGAATTAACGGTTCTGTTTGAACCAAAACAAACCCACTATGAATGAAATAGCAAATTGTGTGTTCTTGTTATACGCAAAATGTTTGAGTTCTCAAATTACTTACGTGTGCTTTAATGAATTGACATGTGTCATACCTATGAGTTTGAGTTTTTAATTTAAAGGATCTTTAAAACCGAAGACTTGGAATTATGTATTAGACTTATTGATAATCATGAAGATGCAGTCATACCAAAGCAGATACATACATATATTACATGATATTCAGATTGCTACAATAATTCCGATACCAAAAATTTCGAATCTAAGTAAGGCTACCCATTTAAGACCGAAAAATTTGATAAGTGTTGTTGGAAAACTAATAGAAAAAGTAATATATCTTCAAATTATTGATTATTTAGAGGGCAACAGTTTGATAAGTAATGTGCAATTATATGGAAAATAGGAAACAGAAGGTTAAGGTAAGTAATTGTGTTTCAGATACTATAGAGAATAATATGGGGGTGCCACAGGGTAGTGTTCTAGGTCCGCTACTGTTTTTAATTCATATTAATGACATTGCTGGTGTAGTAGAAAGATGCTCAATACACTTATTTGCAGATGATACACTGATATATTTTACCCATAAAAACACTGAAACTTGTTTTAAATTAATAGTTTTATAAGTAAAATATATAATTATTGTAACGGAAACTCGTTGAAAATAAATTATGAAAAGACAAAGTGGATGTTAATTGGGGGTACTGGAAATTTAAAAAAATTAAATGTAGCATCGCAGTGTGTTTCTGTTGATGGAATAAAGTTTCAGAGAGTTGAAAAATTTAAATATCTAGGGGTTATGGTCGATACAAATTTACAATTTAAGGAACATACTAATTACGTCATCAAAAGCATATCATTTAAAATGAACTATTCGAGGCGCTGTTCTTCACATCTCAGCAAATGAACTAAAATAATAATTTATAATACTCTTATATTACCTCATTTTAATTATTGTGCCACTATATTGTGTTTTCTCAACCAGAATGAGTTGCAAAAGCTACAGAATAGAGGTATGAGGATAATACTGAGCTGTTCGAGATTGGAACCAATCAATTCCATGTTGAATGTGCTTCAGTGGTTGCCTGTTAGAAAATATTTGCTATTATATTCCCTGCTATTTATATTTAAGGGATCAGGAATCTCCCCAGTATATTTAAAAAATATTTTAAGTTATAATCAGGATGTTCATGAACACAATACACGAAAATTTTTAGAGTTTATGAGGCCACGAAAACATTTACACAAAAGTCAGTGTTTTTTAAAGGTGTACAGGCTTTTAATAATTTGCCTGAAGATATTAAATGTTCTTTAAACGCAGCAATATTAAAAAGAAAACTGCGTGGGTACTTGCTGACCAATTGACTTTTTTCTTCTTGTTTTTTTTTTTTATTATGTTTTGTATAGTTGATATGTAAGTATACTGTATCTTATGTATTTTTTATTGTATTTTAAATGTATGTTGATTCTATACTTATGAATATTTTATATTTTAAATGTGAAGATGTATTGACATGTAAAAAATAGTTTTTTTGACTAAATTAATGATTTATATATCATTATGGACATCATCATTTCCAGAATACTAATTCATTTGATATTTTAAGTAAACATCAATTTGTGCAAATATTTAGAATTTCAAAAGAATTGTGTCAATTTTTAATAAATACACCATCGCCCCCAGATTTAATATAAATTAACATATTTCATGTATTTGGTAAATGGTAGGTTTCTGATTTTGTGAGTTTTAGTAGCTTTATGATTCTTTATGTCAGGAAGCTGTAAAATGAACATTGGGAGAGATTTATTTATATTAGTTTCTCAGGCATCAGTGTACCGATGAGTTAAAGAAATCAGCACTGCTTTAAATGAACCAGATATTTTTTACAGACAGGTATATTTCCCAAGAAAATTTGAAGAACTAAATGCAGATAATGAAAACTGTGATTCCATGATAATAAAATTATTATCATGCTGTCATTCAGCGTGTCATTTTAATGATAATTATTGTAACGTTGCGAAAGTGAGACTAAAACATTCGCAAGTAATTGCAAAGAGATCTCATGAAACTCATTTTAGGAAAGTATGCATATGTGAACTCTTCCCAAGATTAAGTATACATGTAATACATGTCAAGAATAGCACTGCTGATTTTATTAAGATTCAACCATTTTTGTGAACCACCACTTCAGTACAATGGAAAGATGGAATGGAAAGATGAGTAAAGGCATGTATACTGTAGCAGTATCCTTCAACGTGGATTTGAAAAAAAATGGGCATGAAAGGCAAAGTATTTGATTGAATCAGTTTCAACACCAATTGATATAGTTCACAGAGTTCCACAGGGAAGTATTATAGGATCTTTGTTTAGTGTCAGACCAAAACAAGGTTTTATAACCCAAAGAGAAACAAAATTTCGGCTCCTTTCTTAGTCTAATATTGTAGACTAGAAATAATAAATTTTCAACTAATAAATTAGGCAATCCAATATCCTGTCAGAATGGACAAAAATGGCCGATGCTTGACGAAAACAACAAAGTTTGTTAACCTGACTTTTTCATTAGTATTTGACTGTTATTGTAAATCATACAATTAATATTCATATATTTTTAATAAATATTAAATTGTTATTTTTCAACTAAATACACAGGAAAAAACTCTAAACACTTCAAAGAATAATACAAACTTAGACTAAAAACCTCACTAGAAGTGTTTTTGCCAAAGGAAGCATGTACTTTTGTTGTTTATGCAAAGGGTCCACCATTTAAATTCACATGATTTGGATTGTCTAATTGCTTCTCCGATCTGAATAAATTTGGTCAGTAACACAGACTGTTCACTTGGAATACAGCAAAGAAGTTTGTGTGCACGTGTACTGTATAAGAATGGCACCCAGCATTGTCGGTATTATGCGGGATGCCACCACGCATGATGCAAAAACTCTCGAAAATAGTTTCTGATTCGGCTGCAGTTTCGGCCAGTTTTCCGCCGAAACCGAAACTATAGCCGAAACTCTTATTTTAGGCTCAAATTGGACGAAACCGTAACTGAAACTTCGGTCGGACACTGTATTTCTGCAGCAGTGACCTGAATCACTGCACAGGAGTCATGAACGACTCCCTGAAGAAGGTGCATATATATTGTGAAAAATTTTTAAAAATGAATATTCAAAAAAATTAAATGTATGATATTAGGCGTAAGAAATAGGTACAGGGAAGATAGTTTAAATATAAACATTAGGTGATGAAAATTTAGAAATAGTAAAAAAATTGTTTATTTAGGAGTAACTATTCACAATAATTTAAAATTTAAGCAGCATGCAAATCAAGTTATTAAAACTGTCGCCTTAAAAATTATTTAAGACAATGTTTGCCACATCTTAACCAATGGTCAAAATTAACAATCTTCAATACTGTAATATTGCCACATTTCAATTATTGTCCTACAATTTTGTATTTACTCAATTAAAATGAAATAAGTCGTCCCAAAAAATGCAAAACCGTACCATGAGAATAATATTAAAATGTTCGGAGTACACTCCTATAAACAGTATGTTAAATGCTCTAAATTGGCTTCCATTAACAAAATTAATACTATATTACACAGTAATGTTTATTTTCAAAGTCAAAATTGGACATGCACCAGTGTATCTGCAGGATAAGCTCTCTAATAGTATTGGTGTACATAATTATAACAAAAAAATAAGAATAATTTCAGAATTCGAAGATGTAGAAAAACCAGTACATATAACTCTCTGTATTTCACAAAGGTATAAATTCTTTTAATAATTTACCAGAATATAACAAAAAAAGTTCATCAGTAAAAGAGATTTATGTTAGAATAAGCTCAGTGTGATACTTATATTAGTGTAAATTTGTTTACTTCTAAATTTAATTTTTGTTTATGTGTAATGTACTTTTTATAAAAAACCTCCATATGTTGTACTATTTATTACTTTATATACTGTATATGTGAATAGAATTAGTTTGTAAAACCTCTTATTATTGTATTTGTATGATTTCTTTTGATTACTTTGTATGCTGTATATGTAAATAGAATCAGTTTTTTGACTAAATAAATAGATATATACACTATCTCTGTTATATTAATCTACATTACCCAGGCAGCACACATTAATATAACTAACGTATTGTATACGTAATACTCGTTTAATTTTGGTATTGGTTGATTCCGTATACGTTTACAGTTTACGATTATTATACATGCCGTATTTTAAAAGATATATTATACGTTTTTTGTATACATCCTATGGTATACATATAATTGTACATTTTTCTACGTTTAAATGTAGTTAACAATATACGACTATTTTTAGTTTGCGATGAACTATTTATATACAGTGGGTTATTTAAATTAAATTCGTATAAATTTACATAATATTACAATATGTGTTCTTCGTTTATAACTCCCGTTTAAATTTCGTCTTGGTTGATTTTTTAAACGTTTACCAT